TAGTAGGTACATCATACATGTTGAACTGGGCTGCCAGAAGGAAGCTAAGTCAGAAAGTGGAGGATGGGAAGGAATGAGTTCTTCCAACATGCTATACTGCTGGTCCACATGCCTTATCTTTTCCCAGATACTGAGGAAAAAATGCTGAGAAGCCATGGGACACATAGGAAAAAGTCCTTTCTAGTCCTTAAATTTGGCAAAAAACAAAATAAAAAACATTGACAGCCTATAATTACAAAAAATGTTGCAGATTTTTCTCTTCCCCAAGTATTTTTTCCAAATTTATTTATTTATTTATTTATTTATTTATTTATTTTTTAAAGACTTTTTTTTAAAGATTTTATTTATTTATTATGTATACAACATTCTGCCTCCATGTATATTTGCACACCAGAAGAGGGCACCAGATCTCATAAGGGATGGTTGTGAGCCACCATGTGGTTGCTGGGAATTGAACTCAGGACCTCTGGAAGAACAGTCGGTGCTAGATCCACCTGCCTCTGCCTCCCGAGTGCTGGGATTAAAGACATGAGCCACCAATGCCCAGCCCCCCAAATTTATCTTTATATGTATGAGTTTTTTGACTATATTGTATGTCCATGCATCATTCACATGTCTTTGACCTCAGAGGCCAGAAGAGGGCGTTGGATCACCTCAAACTATAGTTACAGAGGCTTGTGAGATGCCATGTGGGTCTTCTGAGAGATATAACTCATATACCATATAATTCACCCATTTAAAGTATATGGCTCAGCTGGGCGGTGGTGGCCCACGCCTTTAATCCCAGCACTAGGGAAGCAGAGGCAGGCAGATCTCTGTGAGTTCGAGGCCAGCCTGGTTTACAAGAGCTAGTTCCAGGACAGCCTCCAAAGCCACAGAGAAACCCTGCCTCGAAAAACCAAAAATAAATAAAATAAAGTATACGGTTCAGTCAGTCACAGTGCTACACACCCATAAATCCAGAGGCTGCTGTAGGACGATCACCTAGAGTTCAAGGCAAGCTAGACCTACATAGTAAATATGAGGTCAGCATAAGTTACATAGTGAGACCCTGTGTCAAGAAAGAAAGGCTGAAGGTGGTGTCACACAACTTTAATCCCAGCATTCAGGAGGCAGAGGCAGATGGGTCTCTGAGTAGAGCCCAGCTTGGTCTACAGAGTAAGTTCCAGGACAGCCAGGGCTACACAGAGAAACCCTGTCGAAAGAAAGAAAGAAAGAAAGAAAGAAAGAAAGAAAGAAAGAAAGAAAGAAAGAAAGAAAGAGAAAGAGGAAGGAAGGAAGGAAGGAAGGAAGGAAGGAAGGAAGGAAGGAAAGAAGAAAGAAAAGAGGGTTGGAGGAGAAATGCTGAGCAGTTAGGAAGCACTTCTTGTCTTCAGGGGACCTGAATTCCATCCCCAGCACCCTTTAATCCCAGCACTCAGGAGGAATAGACAGGTAAATCCTTATGAATTCCAGACCAGCTTGGTCTATATAGTGAGTTCCAGGTCAGCTAATGCTATATGGACTGTCTCAAAATTGTTTCAATCACTTTTATTTAGTGTGTGTGTGGCAGGGGAGCACATGTGTGTGTATATACATATGCAACCAGGATAAGTATGTGGAAATCAGAGGATAACATACAGGGGCTGGACCTCTCCTGTGTGAATCCTGAGGATTGAACTCAGGTGGTCACTTGGAAACAAGTGTCCTTACCCACTTATCAGAACACTGTACAGATTTTTCTGTAGCCCTGTTTCCATTCCTTTGTATGTATATCTAGGCACAGAATGACTAGGTCATAAAGTGGCCCAGATGAACTATTTGAGAAACTGCTAGATTCTTTTCTTTTAACATTGTATGTGTATGAGTGTTTTGCCTGCAATGTATGTCTGTGCACCATGTGCATGCCTAACGCTCTTGGAGGCCAGAAGAAGGAGTCAGATGCCCTGGAACTGCAGTTGTGGATGGTTGTGAGAAACCATGTGGGCGCTGGGGGCTGAACCCAGATTCTCGGAAAGAGCAACCAGTGCTCTTAACTATTAAGCCATCTCTCCAAACCCATTTTTCTTTCTCTTCCTTTTTCTCTCATTTTCTTCTTTCTTTCTTTTTTTAAAAATTAAAAAAAATGAGAAAAGATCTTTTTATATCACCCTGATAGTCTGGAACTGGAACTGACTATGTAGCCCAGGCTGACTTGAAGCTTGTGACAATCCTTACTTCAAGGTGAATGTTGTGAGCATAGTGTATGCCACTGAACCTGCCTGCTAAATTGTTGTCCAAAGCAGCTATACCATTTTTCATTGCTACTAGAGCACATGAGAATTTTAATTTCCCCACAGTCTTGCCAATCTAACAATGATGGCAACACAGAATCCTTATCTAACTTGGGTAGCTATTATTTACCAGATAGTGTAGTACAGCGATGAAAACAGAGTCTCCTCTAAGCACTTAGGGGTAGTGGGAGAGAATGCAGCTCTAGAACTCTCCCAGGCCATGCTAGCTGCCACAACCCATGTGTATAGTATTTGTTACTTCCTACTAGACTAAAATTTAGTCAAACAGAAATCTCTATCTCTCTGACTTTATCTGCATCTGTTGAATGGTCAACTGAACAAATTATTAGCATTTTTCTACTGGTGGTCCCTGTCCAGGTAGAAGAAGAAAATTGCAGTCTGAATGGCAAAAGGGACCAAGGAAGAACTAAGAGTGGATGGAGCCAGGCAGTGGTGGTGCACATGCCTTTAATCCCAGCACTTAGGAGAAAGAGGCTGGCAGATCTCTATCAGTATGAGGCCAGCCTGGCCTACAGGGCTGTGAAGAGAAACCCTCTCTTGACCCCCCCCACACACACAGGACAGAAAGAAAAAAAGACGGTAAATGAGGAAAAGGCAAGAAGCTTGGGGAGCTGGTCACTCTGGCTGAACTTTCATTCTGTGGTTTCCCATCATACTTTACTTCCCACCCATCCACATTATTGAGTGGAAATGTTCTTTCTAGGGCTACATAATGAGGTCAGGGCCCAGCTGGGGTACCTAGCAAGAAATGTTCCTTCTTTGTTTTTATTATTCTCTCTAAAGTCTTGTCTTTGCAAGTATAAGAGACAAAAATATAGGAAAATTTTGGCAATACAGATAACAACAAAATAAGCCTACATACACATAAATCAGCCATTATCATAACTTAAAAGGATGCATTTTTTTAAAAGGCTGACTATGAAGGATTTTTTTTATTATTATGAAATGAAGAAATCGTGATCCAGGTTTTCTTCCATAGGAGAAATAATGGTCCATCCTTAAAAAGTGTTGGCTACCTTTCCACTATGACATGAGAACAAAGGTCACCACATAGCCATATTAATAATGACTGGCCTTTCTTTTACATAATTCTTGCCTTTAGTCCCAGCACTAGGGAGGAAGAGACAGGAGGATCTCTGTGAGTTCGAGACCAGCCTGGTCTACTGAGAGGGACAGCCTCCAAAGTCACAGAGAAACCCTGTCTCAAAAAACCCAAAAAGAAAAAAGAAAAAAATTCTTGCCTTTTACTTCTAGCTAGACTAAGTTGTGAATACAGTCAACACCAGGTTCTTGTTCTCTTTCTCCTCAGAGATCCTCACATTTCCCTATGTTCAATTTTTTCCCCGCCTCCTCCCTGAAGTCAACAAGTGCATACACACACTCTACTGTCACCTTTCCCTTTCATGATTTCTTCAGGTATTCCTGCCTTCTCTCCTTTGTGGGTTTGGAAGGGAAGATAGCAAAATACGTGCTGTGCCAATGCAATTCCTCCTTTAGCAGAGCTCTGCAGGACAATTCCCCAGCTAAAGTGTTAGGCTTTATAGGTCTCATAAACTCTCCTTTTATGAATACACTGTGACAGCCGGATGCTGCATTGATTATGACAGCAGTCTTCAGTCACATTCCTTTTTAACTGCAAAACAGAGCCCTGCTTTCCAGCCCAGTACTCACCATGTGACCTTTAAATTACTGATTTATGTAAGCCTTTCGCTGGCCAGGGGCAGTGTCCAATTCCATCAAACCTGGGGAGGAAGATTGGGGATTGCTACTTTTCCAGTAGTTCTTTGGCTCTGTAGCCTAGGGTCTCTTGTCGGAATCAATTTGGGTGCCATGTGTTTTCACAGGAGTTATGCTAAGGCTGGGATGCATAGAATCACCCACCCCCTTTCGCTATGAAGGAACTGAAGAAATAGATAATAAAACATGTTGGCAGATGCCAAGGACAGTGACTGATTCCTAGAAGCTTCCCTGGCCATTACTGACTGGTGTAATAATCACCTGAGAGTCTAGTAAAGGAGGATGAAAAGCAGGATTTTAAGGAGTTACAAAATGGACTCAGGAATTTCTATGGGACCTTGCTCCACTGGGCCCCAGAAACACAATTTGTTCAGTAGGATAGAATTATAATTCTTAACTACAGAAAAAGAAAATGTTAGTGTTCAAAAGAAATCCTGGAAACAGAGAGGTGTCTGTTCAGGTCAAGGATATGGCCTTCTTTAGCTGACTGCACTGGAGCAGCCCAAATCTGGCAGAGAAAGACAGTCTTAGCTGCTGCCACTCGGTTAAGGATTTCACTGAAGAACGTCAGGGATGTGGTACGCAGGCAGGCTTTAGAACATGACCAAGACGACGTGCGTGCGTGTGGCCACCATTAACCGACTGACAATGCAGATGTTGAAAGATCTGCACTGGAGGCACAAAACGCATGGGCTAGACCAGCAGCAACCAAAGGGCACCACACGTGGGAAGAGAAACCGCAACGGCAAGCACAAGGAGCAGGTAGGCAGTGGGCCTGGCCCCACCAGAACACAAGGGGCTCTGTCCCCTGCGGCTGCAAACCCAAGGCTCCTATACATAAGGAACCCGGTAACTATAGCTTTTGTTCAGAGACGAAGCAATTCTCTAATGCAGGTCACTGCTAATGGGACTTCACGCTCCTCTGTCCTCAGGCCGGTGTGTTTCTAGCTCCGCCTTTCTTGGGCGGGACTCATTGCCCCGCCCTGCAACCGCCCCGGGGCGGGGCTTCTGCCGGATCCCCGCTGCCCTTTCCTCCGCGGACTCTGCGGAGGCTGCTGTGTCCTGCAGAGCTCCGAGCACGTGCCGGTAAGTGAGGGCCCGATGAGGGGAGTTCCTGGAGGTTTAGATACCTAGGCCAGAAGAAGGAGGGTAAGAAGGCTTCTGCCCGAGCACGGGAAAAAACTGGGGCTTGTTTTTTAGTGCCTCCGCCCTTGGAGTCATCTTGAAAGGACTAAGGGAAATTGTAATCCAAAAAGTCGCCACAATGAGATGAGGTCTCTTGCTAGCTGTGGAGTCATCTAGAATACGTTCACAATTTAGTATTCCTGGAACCCCGGGCAGGGACCGAGAACGGTGT